TTCCCGCTTTCTTCCACTTCCTTTTCTTCTTTTTCCTTCTTCCTCTTCTTTTTCTCCCGCTTTTTTCACTTCTTTCCCGCCGCCGGATTCCGCGTCCTCCTCGGGTAAGTCAAGCCGCGAGTAGATACTCTCGGCTCGCCTTTGTTTGCCCTTACGTATTTTCGTGCCCGACGGAAGGAAAGAAGATGGCCGGCTCGCGTGCGCTAATTTGATTAACGAAAATACGATCGATACGATCGCGGGGTTTCAAGTTCCGGCTGCACGAAAGGCTTGTAACGCCGAGAGATTTATCGCGGCTGTTCGTTTTAATTGGGATTATTGATGGATGAAATTGCCCGGTCGTTTGATTTATCGGGATCCCGATTAATTTCCATCCTCCGCGACTTGTGTCTTCTAATTTTAAATTTGATTTATCGCCTATGAAACGCGATAATGTTACGTAACGAGGTATATTATACAGAGACTGATTCGCTCGAATTGATTTCAGCTGTACGAATGGAGCAATGGATGACACGAAAGAAGTAGTCCGAAATTGCGTCGTACTCTGAATCGCGGAAATGCTATGAAAAATTTAGATCAAGCATCCTCTTATCGTGCACTTGGATGGAACACCGTTTCCGTATTCTTGCAATTTCTACTCGTTTTTAATTATCAACATCTCTATAGGTGTCACAGTGTCGCCTACGAGACAGTATCGATTCTGAAATATTTCCAAGATATCGATGAAACTATGCGACGTCGTGCATTCTCGAACTATAGCTCGAGAAATGAACGATCTGTTCTCTTGTTAGCCCACGTGTAGTCCACGTCATTTTTATTTCTGCGATAAATGCCTATCGACGTGGTGTACACGTCGCTGTCGATTTTGGAACAAAAGCATCTCGACGTGCGTGACACGTCTTTCTAGCGCAAGTGGTTAATCTCCAAAATTTACGTTTCTCTCTCAACCGAACAAAGAAAAGGTACCTATTCGTTGCCAACCCTGTCAACGTCGTAACTCGTCTACCACAACCTGTATCTCGAGAACCAAAATCTCATCGGGTTATTCATTCGTCATAATTCACGCGACCTTTCTTCATCGCCGACCTGTATCGCGAGAACCAAAATCTCATCGGGTTATTCATTCGTCATAATTCACGCGACCTTTCTTCATCGCCGCGATCACCAGCCGCGTTACCGGAATTACGTCAAGTTCCCCATTGACCACGACTTCCGTTCAAGGCACCGAAATTACGCAAAGTTTCCCATTGACCGCGACTCCGGTAGCAAGCGCCGAAATTACACGGGGTTACCTGTTCCCTGCGACTTAACCCCCGAATAGCAACCCCTCCTACGCGTTTCAACCACTCGGCGCGTAATCCCGCGAGCAGATTTTTCGAAGGACAATAACGCGGGCCGCGTTGGCGCGACGCCAGCGTCGACCGCGCAATTCCGGCGACGCCGGTTAATCGACAGTCGGCGAGGTTCCGCGCGAGGAGCACGCGCGTAGAATCGCCGCCGACTCGGTCGGACGACGCGATGTTTCCAGCGAGTTAATTCCTGTACCGTGCAGCCTCTCCGTTTGTGTTTCAGACAATGGACCACCGCCCGTCGAGCAGAGCGACGACGGATGGCTGAACTTCACAAAAATCAGCCGCGCCGAGAGCGGCTGGTACAAATGTTATACCAGGCACATGCTCGACATATTCACCAGCATCGGTTATTATCTCAATGTACGCAGTGAGTATTTTCACCGCTCCATGGTAATTTATTCCTCAGGATATATATTTATTCCTCGATCAGGAGTGTCGGAATCGGGGTTGGAATTTTCGTAGCGCACATTGCAATAATTTTCTGCGAGTTTCGCCGTATCGAGTTGCCTTTTGGACGGGAAAGGATATGTTAATGACACCGGGGATGTTGGAGATTAACGGGAAGAAATTCGAAACGAAGTTTTAGTGATACGTCACGAAACTATTTAAGAAGTTACTTCGAGGAACGAAAATTTCGACCCTGATTATCACACGGAAACTAGGTAGTCTTTCGAACGCTGGTAGCCTCTTTCGTTTCGAGTTATACCAGAAAGGGAGAGTTCAGAAATGGAGTTACCAAGTGGTAGAATTATTAATTTTTGTAATATTCGTTACATCGCCAATTGCTACGATATCGGATTAAGTAAAGACGCTAAAAGTCGCGCTAAATAAACGGTAAAATTGATCGGTGCTCATGGCCGGCGAATGGATTTATTGAGCGACTATGAAACTACCATTCCGCTCTATAACAATGAAAAGGTTAAAAATAGAATAAGTAGAGCAGCTGTACGAGCCGATAAAGGGTACAGTAATATTAGAAATTAATGGAAATCGTGGGCCGCGTTGCACGGCTGTTTGAGTTATGAGGGCGATTGAACCGGGAGTTTCGTTCATCGAAACGATCCAGCGAGTCTTCGAAATGCGATATGTTTGCGTCATCGGCGTAGATTTATGTTATTAAATGTCCGCGGTAAACGTGATTCAAAATTACTTTCAAATTTCCACGGAATATCCATTTCCCGCTCCACGTATTGCTTCCTCCGAAGAGATAATTTACCATTTTATACCACGATTTCGCTCCCCTTCCGATCACACCAGATAAACGTTTCCGTCTCTTGTCGCTTACGAACCTAGACGCGTATTTGTCGGGACGGATATCTCGATTAAGTTAATAGAATTCGGGAAACTGGATCTTTCGTTTGTCAAGGAAAATCTTTCCCTCTCGGAGTACTGCATCGAAACACGACGAACATTAGACACTTCGGCCCCATTATCCGCACTCGTGTGGACATATAACAATTGTTCCGTGAAAAATCATATGGTCGAAGAAAAACCGAGAGGAAAGTGTAGAATTTCCCAGCGAATCTTGCATTAAAAAAATAAAACACGAAGAATGGCGGAGGAATTAACTCGGAAGAAAGAAACTCGCAAAGGAAGAAACTGGAATATTTAAAACACTGGGAGAGGACTCTTTTTATCATACCATCCATAAAACAACAAGCACCTGGACCAGGAAACATCTCATCCGTACGTGAGACGAAGATTCTGTAGAACGAAGCCCGACCTAGCTCCTAGGTAAGCAAAAAGGCTCGCTAATCGTGGGTCTGGCATCGAAAAGAGTGTCGCCCGTCCCAGAGGCAGGCAGACATTCCCTCTAATTCGGAATGCAAAGGGGGTGGTCGTTGTCGCAGCCGATAACCGGAAACCACAGTCATTTGTCAAGTACGGAAACCACCGAGCCAACCGGAAATTATCCGTGCCCTGTCGCGAAAATTTGCAAATTTCCTACCCAGTCCTGGCCCCCTAGGTCCTTCCATCTTGCCATTATAACCAGTGGAACAGAGGGGCAAGGGTGCCGCGATCACCCTCGAACCTTCGAGTTTCCTCCTTTTCCACCACCTCTGCACACCCCTTTCCGCCTCTTCAGCTCCAACTTCCGTTTGCACCGCCGACCGACGGGATCCTGGATACGGGTTTCCGAGCACCTAATCTCTACGCAATTTAGATGGCTCGAGAGCACCTATAAACCAACCAACCCCCGTAAGGAATTATCGATTACAGCGCCATGGCGTCCTGTTCGAATCTCCTGGCCGGATTACTTATCCGCGGATAACGTCTAGGAGGGTTTTAAACGGTGCACACCAATTTCGCGCAGTCACATAGATAGCGCAGGTTCAGAGGGGTAGCAGAGAGGGAAAGTTCTTTGAAAGAGCCATCGTTATGAAAGACACGTCGAGTGTCGTTTCGAAATTGATTTTCAGCGTGACTCTACTCGGGATGAAAAATTGCTGGATAGACGCTGTAACGTCGTTTGAAAAATGTAAAACGCGTCGTTAAATTTTTCACGCCAGACCACTATTTCGAATTTTCCGCTGCTTTGAATTTTTCCTTCGCATTTTAACGTTGAAATCTCGTATCGTTGTCAGAGTTGCCGTCCGCTGTCGGTTGCGGTTTGCGAAAAAGGCACGGGTCAGTAGAAGAGGAACGGGATGCTATCTAAAGTTAGTGGTTAGTTAGTAGTTTGGTTGGCCGATCAGTTAGCGAGCAGTCGTCAAACGGTATTACGCCGAGTCAAAAGCAATCGGGCTTGGAACAATCGACATCCAAAGTACTTAAGCTCCCGGCAGATTAATGAACAATTAAGCCAAAGTTGTACGGTTTGGAGAGGAGAGCAGTTGTTGGTCGGTTGTCAAATACAGATATTAAAGACACTCTGGCTGTGGAAACTTCTAACGCTACCCTCGACCAATTGTCTCCATCGGAGGAATGATGCACGTACAATTCTAGAGCGGAATTTATATAAAAGTCCGATTGTATCGACACTCGGAAATACCTCGGAACGTCCCGTTTGGTATTGTCCGATACGTGTCGCTGGAGTATTTTTATATTTCTGCACGATGGACGACGGATCGGTTGAGCGCGCATGGGATCATGACGCATGGATCCCATCGATGCGGTGAAACGCGACAGAATTGCCCGCATCAGGGATCAAAGCGCGCGCGCGTCAGTCGGAATTTCCAGCGATAGATGAAATTCGCAGGTAACGAGAATCGCCATTAGAAAAAAGAGCGTCCCTGTACCAGCCGTGAGGGGGATGCGCGCGCGCGCGCGCTTTCACAGGGCTAACGAAGGAAAAGTGGAAACTCTTCCCCTCGATCCCACCCCCTGCAGCCCAGTCAGTGTACCCGCTGTTTGTTATAGCGTCACGACTGTGTTTGCTGTAAAATTCCGAACAAACTACAAGACAAACGAGGTATAGCCAGCGAGCCGACCGGGGCTCGAGGGAGGGTGTAAAAGCCTCCTATCGTCGCATCCACCACTTTGATCCCTTTGTTTTGTTATAGGATGAGCCAGAGGATCAGCTTGCTAACTCAAAGGACTGCTCTCTTTAGGATTCCACCCTATCTACCGACGCTCTAATTCTCCTCTCCGGCAAGAGATAGCCCGGCCACGACATCACCAACCCCTCGACACCCTTTCCCCCTCGTAATTGTGGACATAGCGTTAGCTCGAGAGCAAACGATCGCGGACGTATAATTCCGTAGGTGGAATTGGAAAAGGAAAGGTACACCGATGCGGACGTCACCGTGTCCGTTCTTCTCTACTCCCTAACCCCGAGTCCTCCCAGGGAAAAGATTTTCTTCTAGACCGCACCGCACGTGGCCATGCCATTTCCACCTTGAACTTTATCCCCGGTACGTGCGTGCGATTCCTGATGCGCGGCCACATCGTTGTTATCGATGACAACGACCGATCGGATTTCAGGATCGCTTTAAGATACCCCCGGATACTGATGTGCGTCGCGTGCCCGAGAATCCTGCACTCGCGATACGCTGGGACCATTGGTAATATTGAAATCTCCACCGTCTCTCTCGTGACACGGGCTAAGCGCGATTCGGCTTCACGGGAAAGCGAATTTTTTGAAACGAAGCATTCTGGACAAGTTACCGATAAATTTCGGCCTACGGTATTTCGAATTATCATCGTAGGTAATCGGTAGGAAGAAATGCGTGCTGGAAGTGGTTGAAAGCGTTCGAAAGATTATCCTACGTGTTGGCAAAGTTACGAAATAAATCTTTATGCCTTTCCATCTTCTTTCTATGTGTTTCCGCTGCCTTTATTCGACTCTGGTGGCCAACGTTCACCATTTAAATCACCGTTCAGATGGTCCAGATATGGGAACAGAAGCGGAAGCGTTGAACGGCGAGGCTACCGATTCACGGAAGATGGAAGTTCAGATCGGGGGCGCTGTGACTCTGGAGTGCGACGGTGGTTGCTGGGGACACGGTCCTGGAATGGATCCAGTCGGTGGTCCCGGTCCGCTGGCTCTCAGTCGAGTCGTTTACCAGGAAGCTGGCGAGTATCGATGCGTCGCACCTGACAGGAAAATGCAGGACACCTGGCGCGCACAGTTGCCCTATCACATCAAAGTCACCGGTAAGTTCAGTCTGTCTTTTCGTAGTTTCCGTTGAAATTCGAGAGATCGAACCGTCGTCTGGTCGAACGCGAGTTTCAGTCACTTGGCTGACTAGCGGCGGGTCTCTACTACTTGCGCGAATCGTTACACGTTTATTCAATCAAACAATTAGCCCGTTAACTGGAAATATCTTGGCGCGATGATTCATTTATCCAAGGATGATCCGTTTTTAATGTCCCGACTATCTATAATTGTTTCCCACCAATGAAATTGGTCCCTGATTAATAGATAACGCGATTTATCTAATTTTATTTCAGTAAATATAAAACGCTTGCTCTAAATATTCGTCGTACGATATTCTGGTTTTCTTCTACCGAATTATCGAGTCGATCTGCACTGTCATGCGACACTGGGTTATCGATGCAATTCTTTAAGTCAAAGTTAAGTGACAGCGATATCGGGCAATCTTGAATAACTCGAAGCGTCGATAATCAATGCGAAAAGGGTGGTGAGGGTTAATTTACCGAGAGAGCGGCTAATTCAAAGCTTATCGTCATTAGTCACTATCACGAGGCTAACCCTCTTTCGTACCGCTTCAAAGGAATTATCCAATTTTCTCCAATAATTGCTCGCGTGCTCCCTTCGACGACCACCTAATTGCAAGACTTATGAACGCACTTTAGATAAATTACGTTTGATCCCCGCCAGACTGCGTTCGCCAATTTCCACGATTACCTCCCCGTCCGCCATTTTCTTTCGTCCGACTGCTGTCGCTCGAAATAATCGTTTACCTATTTCCCCGAAAATCCACCCGCGTTCTCTCCGTCGCCACGTAACTCGGACTTTTCTCTCTCTCTCTCTTTTTTAATCTCGCCGTGTAAATAGCCATTAGTCGGTGGTCTCGTCTAAATTGTCCATATTCATTAAGCTTTTTTCGCATACGCGCCACCGTTACATATCTCTCGCGTATTTTAGAGCAGCGGTACACGTAACCCGAGTGGGAAAAGCGGGAACGGAGAATTAGAATTTTCCGCCGCGCGTTTTTCCCTCCTTTTCTCTTTTTCCCTTCCATTCTCTTTTTGTTTCTATCCCTGTAACGTTGTTAGCGTCTTTCACGATGCTACCGCGGGCCTTTTCTTCCACCCCCTGGCCCCCTTCCGCGGCGTATCACGCGTAACACCGGCGAAAACGCTGGCTTTTCTTCGGTGCACAATGTGCGACGAGTCCGTTGTTCCGCGAACGCATCATTACACCGGGGCATTGTGCGAATTTTCAGCCGGAGGATAGAAACAGCTTTTTCTCGAAATCTATCGACGCGCTCGTATCGTTGAACACCGGCGTCCGGCCGGGACGTCCCTGGGAGAAAAATTAATTAAAGCGAGGTAAACGCGCGCGTCGGTGTACTGAAATGGGCCCCAGAAATGGGGCGGTGAACGAAATTGAACGTGCAACGACGGATCGTCAACGTTGATGGCCGTCAAATGGAATTACCTTGTTTCTACCGCTGTCCTGTCGCTAACTTTACGCGACGGTGACTATAGGATGCCGTATAAATCTAATTCGCGTTGTACGTGGTAATGGCTGAAATCCTTGATCGAGGGATAATGTAATCGAGGATTTGGCCAGTTCCCAGAGGCTTTAATCCGGAGATCGCGTAACACGCCATTTTAAACAGCCCCGAAAATCTCTGCCTTCGAATAACATCAGGAGTAACGTAATCGAGGGCTCGAGCAACTTCGTTCCAAATCCGAAGTAGAAAATACCTAACCCGACTGCCTTTGACTAAAACGATTCCATGTAATTCGACGATCGACGAATCGAAGTTTGACATAAAAGGAAAAATGTCCGATCGCGGATAACCGTGTTGAAGGGAGTAAAAATTCGGAATAAATCCAAAGATCAACGTCCAGACCGTTTCCACGCGAATGGCCACATTTCGCCGCAGTATCTTCTCCGAGGGGGAGGGACATTCGACTTCCCGGAGGATCGACACGAGGACGGAGGGAAAGGAAAAGTCGAGTCAAGGGTAACAGCAGGGTCTTCGTCGCCGTGGGACTTCTGTTTGATCTTGGAAACACGCGTGTCTGTGTAGAAACGCGCGAGGGACGCACACGTGTAGACGCCGAGACCCGTTTTCCCCTGGCGAGGGTGCGGAAAACAAGTTTATGACGCGGAATGGGAATTGGTGCGTCGTAAAGGCTGCTTCGTACGCACAGGGTCCTGCCGGAACGATCCTGACCTGTTTCAGGGTGGGCCGGGAAACTAGATCTCTCGTGTACGCGCTGGAAATCGAGAAACGCGCGATAGTTTCACGGTCCTAACTTCGTCGTAGGATTCCGGCTTATTCGCGTTACGTTGCTGCCTCGTGTTTCGCAATACAGCAAACGTCTCGGGTTTTACCCTCTTACGCACCTGGCGTGGGCAGAGAATTCGTGGAGATGTATTTTTCTTGCTTCCCTATCGGTACCAACCCTCGGTTATCATTATCGCGAACGATAAGATTTACGATGGCGCAAGTTTGTCGTCGGTTCGGACGAATGTGTAAGAAGTTGAGCGTTAATTCCGATGTGACCGTAGACGAACGACCGTGCTACAAAGGCAGGTTGTAAAACGAAGTATCGCAGTAGAGTCTGAAACGAGAATTAATATCCGCCATTGCTGAAACGTCGTTTATTTGGCTGCACCGTGGTCTTCTTGGAATTTCCCTGATTTAATTTACACCTTGCCTCGAACGTGTAACCTTTACGACCACCGTAAACGAAACGTGTGTAAAATAAAGCAGCGGCTTCTTCCTCACCCCCGTAAATTCGACGATATAACAGGAGCAGGAGCAGTAACGCAAACGCACGAATTCAGGGGTGGCGGGCTCGAAGAGCGCGATAATCCGACCTTAATAAGAGTGTTCCTCGCGACTGCTTGTCGCTGGGTAGCTGGGAAGCCGCGAATGAAAACGACGCGAAGCCCGCGAGAAGTGGAAATGGGGTGGCGGGAACGAGGCGGGTAAGAGGTGGGAAATGGGTGGGAAAGAGGTGGAAAAGCAGCGCAAGCTTGCCGAGGTATTAGAATCTGATTCGAAACTAAATCGGACGCTAATGGAATTGACTATTATAAGTTTGTGTACCGAAGCTTTGAGCCGCGGCTCGACGAGAGAGGGTTGAAACTGGCAGCTTTTGGTAATGGATATCTCTAACCAAATATCTTCTCATAGATTCTGCTCTTGTATTACGCAATTAACGGGATACTTTAAAGAGTAACCGAATAATTTTGATGCGCCGCGCAAGGGTTCCTATAGCTGCCGGAATAATTCCTCGTTTAACCTCGGTATAACCGTGGGATTTCGGTACGGTAGAGCGAAGACGTGATAAAATTTTTCGAAATTGTCAGTGACACGGATTTTAAACGTCGATAAGTTGTTTGGACAGCGTTTGAAAGAGCAGAAAATTCGGTGACGATATTTCCGATATTCTGCCAAACCGAATATTCCAAATTCGTTGAAATCTAAAGATAGGGAAAAAATTGCACATTTTCTACGCTCGCGGGGCGAAACGTGGAAATTCAGGGATTTAAAAATTCGGAAATTTAAATGGAAAAATTTCGACCGCGACTATTCCGCGGGCAAATTTGTCATATAAATTCCGCCGCAGCTTTCGTGCCGATCGAATGTCTTTAATAACCGTCACAGAGCGCATTCCGCGCAGTATTTCTGTCCACGTTGCTTACACGCCGATGATAAATGCAGATTCTTCCCTGGAAGCCGCAATCGCTGGCCTCTTCTCATTCTACGGCCTGTGGAAGCCTTTGCTTGCTATCCAGCCCGAGGCAATCGCTGAAGCAATCTCGACTTCTTATTGATTGCAGCTCAGGCAACTCGTGCGTGTAAGGGGCTCAGCCAGTCGAACGGTATCCTCGGGATTTTAAAATCGTTTCCCTGGATTGAACAAGGGGACGCCACGGAAATCATCCCATCGCGAATTGTCTCCATTTCTCTACCTCCTTTTTCATCCGTTCTCTCCTTGTTGCCAATGGAAAAAAAGAGAATGAAAAAAGGAAAAAATAACCGAACCGGACGAATTTTAATTCCTTCTGCAAATTATCGATTCTGCACAGAAACGTCCAAGTGCTTCCGTTACGTTCTTGGAAATACGCCGAACGTTATCGCGAAATTATGGACGAGGTATAACGAACCATTTGCTGGTTTTATAAAATGTTGAATTCCAATTTCTGTGAGTGGCTAGTCGCGACTTCCGACACGGTTTCTCGCTTATTCCGTCCTGCTGCTTGCAGCTCTACGCTCCTTGCTTAAACGCTCTTTATTAAACCCTCTAAATAGTAGGCCGTTATTAAAAATTCGTGGGAAATAAACGTAGCGCGCCAGGGATTCGTCCGGTTGGATAAATGACCAGTGATTTATAGGATATTTCTTCATCCCTTCGATTTCTCCAATTTTCCAATTTTTTCTTCCCTTTTTCTTTCTTTCCTTTTTCGTGTTTTATAGAGCCACGCACGAGAAACGAAGCGTGCCACGAATATGCCTCGGATAACATGCACTTGGATCCCGAGATTCGCTTCCACAAATATCGAAGTCAATATTTCTCGTTGGTGTTCGACATATTTCTCGAAAGCTCGCGGTTCTTGACTTTTCCCGGGTTATTCGACCATGGAAAATCGCGTTTTCCTTCCGTTCGGTCAACGAAATAAAAGAGGAGAGGAAAGAAAGAGGGAGAAGAAAAAAGATTGGAGAAAATACGGAGCGTGTTTTTGGAAAATTCGTAACCTCGGGAAAATTCTGTCAATCAAGGGGAAGGATGGTCGTTGGGAATTTTACTCGGATCGTTCCGTTAAACGGTCGCAGAAGGAACGCTTGCGAAATATTCCGGTGGCTGTAGGAAGAAGTCGAAGGAACAAGGAAAAGTTTCGCGTTGGACCGAATTGTGGCCGCAATAAAACTACATTATGCTCGCGGTTCTTACGCTAGTTGGCCCCGCGGAACTCTACGACACGTTCGCGATAATTTCCCCGC